TTTTCTGAGATTTCTGAGATTGTGGATTTGGGGTTTTTACGAGCTGTAAGCCATAATCATCTCAATTATGACAAATCATGGCTTGAACTATCTTGCTTTGCATGTCTATCCTCATATATTAGGTTCACCTTTTAAGTTGCATTCCTGAAATAAATGAACTTTTGCATGATATTCTAATTTTTCAAGTTTCACCTGTCTTCTGTCTTTACCTGAAAAGGTTTCTTTTTATTTCATCATGTGAATATGTGAGACCTTGTAAAATTTATAATCACAATGTTCAGTCATGCTTGTATTTTTCTAGAAGACAGACCTAGTTGATTAATAGTAACAGTTTCCTTCTACTGGAAAATAAATGTAATGTCTATATTAATTGGAGACAGGTAGAAGAAAAGTTGCTTTGGTTAATGTTTTTAGAATAGTGATAAAAAAAAAATACAAAAGCCATATGATAATGATGTACTGCTATAATTGGCAATATTTAACTTACTCTGTAGCATTTTGTACTTCTGGGACATGTTTTAATAATCATTAACAGCCTATCTAAGCAAAAGCTGTCGTTTCTGATGGGGAAGCATGAATGAGCTCTAGTAAAGACATGTACTAATCAAACAATTGGTGCAGTTTCCAAGCTGGAAGGTTGCCCAATGCACCTTTAATCAATTCAATTTGGCATCTGAAAATAAATTCTGTTTCAGAAATCTAATTGCTGTGCTCCCCACTGTCTCTCAGAGGATATTGACTTTTCGTTTGGACATGCTTTTTTAAAAATTTACAAGCATTATAATACTGTATGAGAATATCATATTTCAGACATGTTGAATTTACACTAAAATCTCTGACCCAAACTGGAAAAGAAATGGAAATGAAAGCATGTTCTAGTAAATCCTTTATGTTACGGAAAAACATTTATATAAACAACATTTATGTAGAGAATGTTTTAGTAAATAATGCCAGCAAAATATGACCAGTGCAACATGGCTTGTGGAAGTTATTTTTCTCCTTTACAGTGTGTTTTAAATGATACAACAGGAAGTCGTGCATTTCCAAACCCAAATATCAGCTCTGCAAATCTTTATTCTGGTTACTATTAATCCAAATGTAACAATATAAACACATGGCAGAAGAAAGCAATAATGGGTATAAACCTATGATAACTTCCTGCTTAATGGAAACTATAATTTCCTTGTTAGTTAATATTATAAAACACCTTTGTACATTTCCAAGGAATCTCTGAAAAGAAAAAATGGTATACCAGGGATAATTTGCTATGCAAAAATCTCCAGTCATCATACCCCTATTTTGTCAAATTATTTTTACGATTTCCTTTCTAGTATGCAAATTTTACAAGTCAGGGGACAACATATGGTTTAATTTTAATATCAATAAAATATTTTTGTTTCAGATGACAAATGAGGAAAGTTAATATATCTCTGTGGTTTATAAAAACACTTACTTTACATAATTGAATTATTCATAACATTTTGAAAATTCTATTTAATCATTTGCATGTGTGATGGGACATAAGAATATTCATACAAATTTGTGTACATAAATATAAAATACAATTACTCTTAAAACAGTATTTAAAATCAAGTGTTTTAAAATATAAGGATTATTACCTTTAATTTATGTTGATATGAGTGTTTTGATCAGCAGCTATAGGTCAAGTATATCCTCCCATATGAAACTAAGTTCTTCAGATATGCAGTTTTTGTACTTAAGAAGGCAACCCAAAATTTAACCTAAAATCAAAGTTACAACAAGGTTTCTCTATCCCTTACCATAATATTGTTTATTGAGCTTTAGAATTTTTTATTTGATTTTATTAATTTAAAATAAATTTTATTTAAGATTGATATATTGAAAACATTTTAAAAAAACAAACATATAAACATGTTCTGTCTCACCTTTCCTTTTTCCCAAAGATGAAAGAGTACCAACTAACACAAACTCCATAAAGTTAGTCGTGGCCCCTGAGTCCACCAGAGCATTTGCTGGAATCCCTTCTGACTGGTTATCCAAGAAAACCCGAGTGTCCAAAATCAGATGCCGAGGGGGCCCAGAGTCAACCTCCGCTAATTCAGGTGGGTGTTTGATACGTGCCCAGCCTAGGGTTTCCCCCCAGGTCGGGCCTGCCCTATTTCCCAACTGATCATGCCGAGATTCAGGCACAGGCTTAAGTGCCCCACTTCACTTTAGAGGACAAGAAATAGCTAAATGTCCTATGCTTTCTTAAGTTTTTGCGGGTACTTACATGTATGGTATTCAGCTTTGTTCACGTATTTTCTGTATTGTGATGATGACAGATGAGATTCTGCCAAAACGTTGCTACAACTTTAAAAGCACAACTACAATGACGTGGGAAAATACCTGAACAAAGCTGAATGCCATACATGTAAGTACCCGCGAAAACTATATATTCTGAGGTTCTCACGGGTATTTGTATGTGGATCTTTGGTTATTTGGGTTTTCTCCCGTGTAAGATTGGAAGTATCTAGGCAACGTTTTGATGAAGTCTCATTCATCATCTTCAGGCTTTTTCGAGTCTGATTCTATTAGCATCATCAGGGTTGGTTTTGGTCAGGCTGGTTTCAACTCCGCATATGATGGTTTCTGTGGGGATGTGTTTGGGAGCGACAGCAAAGTTGAATCCTTTTGAAAGGACCTTGGTTTCGGCTTCAGTGAAGATCTTGTCTGAGATGTTGTGCACTGTTTGTTTCATGTGTGGCTGTGAATGGGGAGGACTTGGTTTCTGACATTGTTGTAGTTTTTTTAGTTTGTTGGTGTGTGTGTCTGTCTTGAGGGTGGTCTGTGTTTTGGCTCTCCAGACAGCGAGTTGTTTGGATTTGTCCCAAAGTAAGGGGTGAATCTTGTTGCTGAGTCTGAGGTGGAGTGTGAGGAGATCTTTGTTGCTTTGGTCTAGGAGAAATCTTTTTGTGTGAAGTTCATTTCTAATTAGGGCCAATTCTGTTCTTTTGAAGATGATGAATGAGTTCTGTTCTCTCTGAAGATGATGAATGAGACTTCATTGAAACGTTGCCTAGATACTTCCAATCTTCCGCAGGAGAAAACCCGAATAACCAAAGATCGATCGATCGATCTATCTATCTATCTATCTATCTATCCACACACACACACACACACACACACACACACACACTTGTTTTCTGAGGTTTTCACGGGTATTTGTATGTGGATCTTTGGTTATTCGGATTTTCTCCCACGTAAAATTGGAAGTATCTTGCCAACGTTTTGACAAAGTCTCATTCGTCATCTTCAGGCTTGTGTCTTCGGCTTTGTGCTTCTCAGAGTAATGTGAGCTTGCAGCTGCTTCTTCCTTTTAACTGCTAGTGGGGGTGTGACTTGATTGGGTGGGGGTTGGATGTGTTCTGATTGGGTGGGGGTGTGTTCTCATTGGTTGGGGGTTTGGTTGTGTTCTGATTGGCTGGGGGTGTGTTCTGTTCAGGTGGGGGCTTGGTTGTGCTCAGGTTAGTCTTAGTTGCCGGGAGATTTGAGCTGGTGAGCTGTGATCCTGTTGTTTGGCTTCATGTTCATGGTCATGCCACATTTTCATGGTGGGTGTCCGTTCGTTTCATGTATGGGTCGGAGGGGTTTGAAGCGGGTAGTGATGCAGCTGCGGTACGGCTTCTGGTCTGTGGTCATGTCTCATCATCTGTGTGGGTGTGAGTCTGCTTTCTACATGGAAGTGTGGTGGTAGCATCTTGTGTGGCCCTCGTGGGTGTGGGTCTGGTGTCATTCTTCATGTTAGGTACACGTTGGTTAATGAGGGCGGGTTTCCAAATGGCTGGTAGGAGGTATCATCTCATTTATTCATGCTGTGTGGGCGTTTTTTCTATTTCTATGGCTTCTCTGATTATTCTGTTGTTGAAGTGTTGAGTTTTGGCGATAGTTCTGGTATTTTTAAAGTCAATCTCATGTCCTGTGGCTTTGAGGTGTTGGACCAGGGAAGAGGTCGGTTCTTCTTTTTTGATTGAGTTCTTGTGTTCTTCACTAAACATGTGGTCCTTAATATACCAAAGTAAATAATAAAAAATTACAGTAAAGCACAGTAAAGTTGAACATAGAAACGTTTTAATTCTTCTAAGGGAATGGTTGAAAAACAGCTAAAATGTATTCTTGCTTTTAGTTAATAAATGCCAGAATAAGATTTCATCCAACCTGAAGAGCTTTATCAATTAGTTCTAATATTTTGTGTGTGTGTGTGTAACTTTATTAGCAATATATTAACATTAATTCAAGTTTGGCAGAGAAACATTTCAAAAATTACATAAGCAATTTGTCAGAGGATAAAATGGATAAAAACCATCCATGTCTAAGACTTTGGACATACAGCATGATAAAATAAGATAGACGGTTTAGAACACTGTTTTATAAATAGTTAGACATCCCATTAACTTTGATAGAAGTTCAGAAGAAAGAAGTGGAGAATGAATGCACACTTCTTCCTCTCTTCTCAGCAATGTGTTAGCTCGGTATACTAGGTACAGATACATGGATCATTTTATAAGCACTTGTACAAGAGACTAAATATTTAACCGAGATATCCATGGAGGAAAAACCATTTTAATCTTAAAACTATTATAATAAAAAGTACCATTAAATAAACATGGCTCAGAAGATTCCATAATGGTTTCAGATGAATATACAACTTGACTATTGATAGGTATTTATTAAATTGCTATATGATATGACACTACATCTATTTTACGCTTTGATAAGATATTTTAATAAAAGGAAATAACTTAAGCATATTTATGTATCTCAGATTTCTATGCATTTCAGTTTAATAACATATAACAGTGTTGTACCTACATTTCACAGAATACTTTTATCAGCAGTTAATTTTAAAATCACAAAAAATTTATAGGCTAGTGCTTTATATATTACAACAATAATGAAATATTTTAATTATGAATGTGATAACTATTTTAAACATTTAATGCAAAACAATCTTTGCTTAACAAGTTGTTACTACTGAACTATTTTAAATACGGATGAAGCTGCTTGAGTTTAGCTTTCCTTGACAATCCAACTCTTAAAGGACCGCAACATGTTTTCAGAGGCTGTATTCTTATAATTCCACTGAGTAAACAGTTTCCTACATTTAAAAAAACAACATCTTGAAATCATATCAGAAGTGTGCATTTTCATTATTTCTTATCAAACAAGTTTGATGGTGATTTTGTAGAACTCAAAATAAATTTCTAGAATGACAACCAAAGGAACAAAGGAACTATTGATGCTTTCACTCCTGAAAACATCTAGTCAAGTGCAGTAGTAACTGTTTTTCAGGTAAATTATTTAGAACATGGAGGCACATATACAAATGCTTTCCTTTACAAAAAATGAAATGTTATCTCCCATTCAATTATTTCCCAAGTCCAACCGTGCTTAGGTTTTCAAAGGAATTCGAGATAATCATGGTAATAAAAAGAGACAGTATGCTTTTCCCACACCTAGGAGAAAATCTTCTACTTTTCTATTTTGCCTGTTATCAAACCATCAAGGTACAGCTATTTTTTCATCCATTGAAAAAGCGAGAGTTGAGAGTAGTTGTCATCATGGTTAAGTGCTATGTGTATTAAAAAGTATTTTATATCAGCTTTTATATGCCTTTGCTCAGATTTAAGTTATGCAGCATCTATTTCCTTAGTGACAGTGTTTTTTAATCTAAATTTTAGCTAATGGTATGATTAACTATGCCTCAGCAGTTGCTTTTGATGTTAAAGCTGACATTAAAGAAGGGTAACTTTACCTATAGGAAATAAATAGAAGGTTGTGTCAGGCCACATAAAGTGTGCTAGGGAGCAATGAACAGAGGTCAAGTTAGAGCTATACATGTCACGACATTATTCCCTACATTTTATTATCAGATTTGGTTCAACTATCAATCCAGCTGATTCCAGAGCATAAAAAGGAGAGAGAAGATTATTTGTACATAAATTGGGAAAAATATCCTAGTTCCAGTGCACTGAAATTGTAACTATCAGTGCCAACTGGGGTGAAGGAGAAGTTTAAAACATTTTTCTTTGTTTTCCATTAATTTTTTTACCTCGACTTGTTTTTATTCTTCAACAAAATTTACCCAACTTCATTCAAAACCAGTTTAAGAGAGTGATTAGAAATAGAAGTGTGGTAGGTAAAAATTATCTAGAAAAGGGCTTAATGTTTTCCTGGCTTGCCAATGCCACAGACTAATTTTCAAGAATAAAAAAGTCCCATAACTTCAAAAAAAAAAAAAAGAAAAAGAAAGAAAAGAAATAACACTGAATGAAAATTATATATTGTGTGTGATCAGTGTTTGCTTTGGCACAAAGGTAACAAAATGAATGAATGAACTAAATGATTGACAGGGTTTTTTTGTCCTATATTTTCCCCTGTCCTCTGAATATGATCTGGAGCAGTGGTCACCAACTGATGAGTCGCAAGAAAATTTTGGTGGTCTACAGAGAAATGTCACCCCCAGAGCACCCCCCCAAAGCAATTAATCCAGGCTGCCTGGGAATACAAGGCAGCACCGCCCACATGGCCTGCGGGAACCCTCCCCGCCCACTCACTCCTTACCTGTCAAACTTGCCTGTTAAGTTGCTATTTTTCCTTTTTTTTTTCCCGACCATCAGTGGTTTTCCTGTGCTGGGAGATTTAGATTAGCTAGAAAGCAGGAAACTGTTGGGTTTCTTGCTTTCTAGCTAATCTTTAGATCTTCAGCTCTACTTTTAAGCAGAGCCGAACCTTCCTTAGGACTGAAGTTTGTATTATTCAGTGCAGACTCAGGTAGCCGATGGCAGATAGATAGATCTCTGAATGAATCTGTGATTCTGTGAGCAACTCAATCTGCCTACCTGCTTTGCCTGATTTTGGGTAAAAGTTGTTCTTTTTTTAAATAAAAAAATCAATATTTACATACATGATGCTTTGTGAGTTTGCTTGCATGCAAATTTTATGTGACAGCTGATTGCAGATAGATCGATCTCTGAGTGAATCTGTGATTAACTCAATCTGCCTGCCTGCTTTGCCTGATTTTGGGTAAAAGTTGCTCTTTTCTTTATAAAAAATTCAATATTTACATAAATATTTATAATATTTAAATACAAGCCATGCCCAGCCAGTCACATTACCACCAAGCCACACCCACAAATTAGGCAATGCCAACAGAACTGGTTGTTAATAACTTTGAATCCCACACCTGTATGTTTGTTTATGTGTGTGCGTCTGTGTGTGAAAGAGAGGGAGGGAGAGGTTAGATCAGATCTCTCTCTCCCTCTCCCTTCCCCCCCCTTCCCACCAAGTCAGCAAGCCACTGTCAGTCAAAATTCATATTAGTGGTTCCCCGGATTTAAAATTATGATTTTGGTGGTCCCTGAGGTCCAAAAGGTTGGCGACCCCTGATTTGGAGGGTCTTTCCATCCCCAGGAGGAGCTCTGTGGATGTGTTATCAATGGTTTACTTTTTCAGAGTTTTTAAAAAGATTTAAAGTAGACAGAAGATTTTATGGTTTTGTACGCAATAAGATTATGGAACTGAATTATGTACAAATAATGAACATGTAATTGCTAAAAGGTATAAACTTTTATTGACATTTGGAAGAGAACAGATGAAAGAATGTAAATTAGGCTAAAATGTTTATAATATATAGATGAAATAATGGAAAAATATGTGGTTGAAAGTATTGAAATTTATACTACTTCATTATCTTCAAGAGAACTTTTTATAAAATGATGCACCTTTGGTATATAACATTAGAAAACATATTTCAAATGTATAAAGACATTTCAAACATATCTTGGGAATGTGAACAGGAAGACAGGAATGTCATGTTTAATTGATGTGTAAAAAGCTAGAAAATTTTGGATTCAATTATATCATGTTTGATGGATTTGTAAAAATGCTGGAAATTTTGGGGTTCAAATACATACTGATTTGGAGGATTTAAAAGTTTAATATGCAATTGAGACCAGAGGTTTTTTTTGGGGGGGGGGGGGATTGATGATTGGTTGGGGGAAAAACTCATGGTACTTTGTTTCTGTATATGATAACTGCAACAAGATGCATAAAGATGCACAAAGATTGAAAGATTTGGAGGAGGAATGGTGAAGATGATGGAACTTGCTGAGATGGCTAAATCAATTTCATGGATTAGAGAAAAGATAGTATCTAGTATGTTTAATGCTAGCTGGAAACCCCTTATGGACTACTTGTGTAAAATGGAAAATATGAATTTATGATTTATGGTTTTATGATTAGACAGGATAGATTATAGAAAGAAGAGTTGTAACTATAGAGGAAGAGATAAATTTGTAATTGTAATAATTACTGCAAACCTACTTCTTCATATCTTTTTTCTTACTTTTTAAAGTTTTCTTTTAATTTTTATCTTTTCTTGCAGATTGATTTCTTTTCTTTTTCTCACTTTATAATACTTGTATTAGTTTTTATCTTCCTTTAAAAAAATATCTCATATATAGATATTTTATATGGATGCATAGAGAAGGAGTTCTAGTAAGAGATGGAAGCTGTTGGTTACAACTCAAGTCTACTTATTACATCAGCACGAACTTGAGGAGCAAAGACACAATTCTAGAACACAGAAGAATTTGTAATAAAATTTAGCTATCAAAATTATGCTTTGGGTAGACAATTACATTAATTTCAGTTTTCCTCCAACCTCATTTTTGTAATCTTATTTTTCATTTGATTCACAGAACATGACACCACCTAGCTATTTTGACTAAACTGAAGAAGAAAAAATCTAAACAATTTTAGTTCTGTTATTGGGCTGGATGAGAAATCACAGAAAACCTCAGGATTATAGACAATATAATCCGTCATCCCAGTTACATAAAAGATCTCAGACTTCCTAAGAAAATTGAACTCCATGAAGAGGAGAATTTATTGCTTTTTCTTTTATTTCAGCATCCAGCCAGGGTGTCTCCTACATGTTGAATGTTAAATTTAATTGAACACTATTTGTTGTTAGGGTTGAATGCATGTTTCTTTTCTTTTCTTTTGTTTGTTATAGTTTTACTGTTTTATATTATATTTTCCATGATAAAACAATAAACAAATTAAAAATTGAACTCCATAGGTAATTTCCCTAGCAAGAACATTTCAACTATCATGGAGTGAAGGCTTGTATCAACACACCCCACAAAACAGTATGTTATGTAAAGTATGTCAAGTAAACAAGAACATAAATACTAATCCAAATGGCACACTTTGTCACCAGACTATAACTTTGTACTTATTTTATCTTTGCAACAATATGGACCTGCAAATTAGTGGCAAAGCCTTGGGTATACCAACATCTTTATGAATGACCTAGAACAATGCTTTCTTAATTCTTATCTCCCAAAGCCTCTCCTTGACTTGTGATTCATTGATTGCATTTTCATAATCTGGATGTATCAAAATTAATCCCTTTTCAAATGCCATCATGAGTTCAACATCTTCTACCCCCGACAACTACAGCCTAGACTTATCTATACAACATATCCTTTGATATCATTGTAAAACTTACATAACAGTTTAAACTATATATCAGTGCAGCCATTCTATGTATCTGATGAAATGAGCTTGACTCACAAAAGTGTGCATCTTTTAACAGAATTAATTAATCTACCAAAATCCCTAAATTTTTGCTGCCATAGATTAACACGGCTCTTCAAAAGCAGGTTACAGCAAACCATTCATGTGTTTTAAACAAGATAATTAGATAGGACAGTATATGAAGTGTCACAATTTGAACTTGATTCAAGAATGATTTTATCATCTTTTACACACTGATTTTTTTTTTAGTTTTAGTAAAATGTTGTTTGAGTTAAAATGGTATTCATATTAAAGTGTTTGAACTCAAAGCTCACCTTGGAATCCAACAAATCAGCCACAAACTCACATAAATTAAAAAAATATTTACTGCATAAATTAAACTAAAATATAAATATATAAAAGTGAAAATGCTAAATTATTATAAGACATAATTTACCTCTTTCTGTTGTTAAATTATAGCTTCCTTCTTTTGTGAATGTTTGAGATACGAATGCAGGGTTCCAAGAGAAAGATTGTTTACAATGAGCACGTTCTTAAATTTGAAAAACAAATTCACAATAAGCTTTATAGTTATTAATAGATCAATTTGAACTTTACTATATACTACACATTAGGTCTACACAATGTAGCAACTATGTGGTAAAATATTCCTAGCTTGAGATAATATATAAAACTTCATATATTATATGCTTGATATATTTGATCTAAAATATAGCAACTACATTTAAAAAAAACACCCTAATGCTTTATTACATCTTTTCCACTATAGTATTGATATATTAGCTCTTACCAAACCTGATTGTCTACTACAAATTACTGTGCCAAGCATGACTTATACTGATGGTTTGCACTGGATCCCTTTTTCTTTCTTTTTCTGCCAATGTGATCTGAACAGCACCAGGCAGCTAAATGCAGTTGCAATTTAATACTTACAATACTTCCATTATAGTATTGCTTTGTGGAAAATGTTACTATCATCATTTAATGTCCCAATGTTTCTGTTACTTAATCAAGAGTAGCACCCAATGTCAATCTAAAATTAAAGCTACTGCTACCAACATCTTCACAAATATATTTTAACAAATATTTAGATTTGAAAGAGTTCTGTGCATCTTTTTTATAGTGCAAACCTAGTACTATTACATAAAATAATCTGATTCACATATTTTTAAAATCATTTACTTACTTTCAGAAGATGAACAGAACAATTCTTCACCTGACAGATTTGAACTGTAGTTGTGGGTTGTCTCTTGCTCTCCAAATTGTATGTTCTGGTGAAATGAACTTTTTGTATAGCTGTTTTGCTTTACCCCGGATGTGCAACTCATAGTAATATCAGTTGTGGAAATGACTGGATTGATATTTCTGTTAACTTGATCTGGTATGTTGTCAGAACAATTTAGTACATGAGATTCTTTCTCAAGGATATTTATTTCTGTTTGTGACAGGCTATTTTCATTTGCCTTACTAATTTCATTGAACATACGAAGCTCTTCCAGTACTAACTCAAATTGATCTCTTCTGTTAGTTTCTGAAGAAAAATGCTCTTCTCCTGAATCTTCACAACCTTTTTGTTTTGTAGAACATGAGGCTGTTAATTTGTCCACAGAATTAACAGACTTTGCACATTCGTTTTTGAAATGTAGCTCACATAAATTCTGAGACTGGTTTCTTTTGTTTACATAGTTCTTCCCAGCAATGGTACATTTTGTCTTCATAAACCAATCCTCAGCAGTTTGGTTTATACATAGTATTTCTGACTTAATTGTGCCACTGAACAAAATATTGTTACTACCCCCAAAGTTCATATTTTCTATTACTTTAGCTTTGGGTGCCTTAAAAACATTTGATATCCATGTAGTTTGATATTGGTATTGTAAAACACTCTTAAGTTTTTCAAAGTCAAAGCACCTTGGCTTTGCTTTTTTTCCATATAGGGAAATTTTACTCCACTTTGTTTCTACACCGATTGCTATATTTTGGGTTAGAAAAAGTTTATGAAACATGTTGGGAGTAAAATGTTGACTAACATGTAAGGAATGTTTAAAAAGTCTTCTGGAAATTGGGAAAAAATTACCATTAATTTTGTGTTTTAGCCAATGCCTGTCTTTGAAATACCGAGACGTCTTACTTTTGCTTTCTTGTTTTAAAAGACAATCATTTGCAAATAACTTGAGTGGCGCACAAATATAAGTTAATGTTTCAGAATGATTACTAGTGAATCTTTTATCAACACTTATGCATTGTTTGCTATGTTTTTCATCAGTAATTATTATATCACCCAGGACTGAAATGTGTTCTATTTCATCTGAATAAGAACTGAGGGAAATTTTTTTATATGTATCAAGATGAGATTTTCTATCAACAAAATCACATGGATTATTTTGGTTATGTTTGTGATTATTATATTGTGTTTTGTTCATTCTTTCTTTACTACCTGTTACTATATGTTTTGGGACATATTTGTTATTTGTATAATTAATACTATTTCTAAATATTCTCTTTTCCCATTTGTTATGTGCTCTTAAAACAAAATAAAAATGTTTAAATTTTTTAGAAGAAAAGTTACTGGTTTGATTGCACGTTTTTCTATTTTTCTTTTGTATAAATGGTTCTACAGTAACTATATCAAGTTTAAAATCTTTAGCTTTTGACTTTTTAAGCAGGACTGGAATTAAAATCAGATAATTTAATAATCTAAAACTATCTGCCAAATTGTAGATTGTTTCAGGAATATACAAGCTTCTTTCCCGTAAAATAATATTGAAATTTTTACTTTGGATATTTTGATTATTAGAAAGTATTATTTGGCTTGTTGTTTGTTTTTTTCCACAGCAAAGCATTGAAAATATATCATCTTTCCTAATATCTGTAGGACATAAGAGCCATTCTTTTGTGTCTTCATTAGACTTTTCTGTTTGTTGGTGATTAATTTGACTTATGTGGTTGAATACTGGAATACCATTTTCTGTTACAGAACTGTAATGATATGTTCCATTACTTTGTAAAAACAGTTCAAAAGCAATACTTTTTGTTAATTTAAGATTTATTCCACATTTTTTTGAATAAAGTGTATATGCGTGCCGAAATATTTTGTTTCTTCTGAAATTCTTCCTTCTATAAAATCTTCTTTGCTTTGTGTAGGATAAAATATCATTGTTCTTATGTAAAATATTTTTATACTCATAGTTCAAAGATTCAAAGTCTGACTTTTTTCCATTCATAAAATATTTAAATGGCAAACAGAACTTTAAGACTTCTTTATCACTATTTTCATAACTTCTAACTGGTTTTGAAATAAGATGTTGTTCTTCTGACTGTAACATTTTATACGCATGACAACAACCTGGATCCTTTTCTTTATTTTGAAATTCTGGCACATCTCCAAATAAAGATTCTATTCTTGCAATAAACTTTTCTGCCAAGATAATATAAAAAATTATACCTCTTGTTGGCCATTCATTTGTCTTTGACATATTAGCAGTCTTTGTTGCCGTTTCACTTTCTTTTGCATATGAGACCAAAGATTCAAGTTGTATGAAATCTGAATTATTTTTGTTTAACTTGCAACTACTACCATTCCTAAGTGTAGTACAACTATTAGAAGGCCATTTTCCAATGTACGGAATATTTTCTAACAATCTGGATTGTAATTTGGCATTCATAAACATCTTGAAATTTGCATGTTGTCTTACACTGTTTTTTAAAATTGTACTGCTTTTCTCTCGTAACTCCAAATTAAGTTGACTAAAATTCCATGTTTTAGGAAAACACAGAAACTGATTTCCTGATTTGTTATCTTCATTGCATATTTCAAATAATTGCTGTTGCCCCCTCTCAAAGATCACTTGATTGCTATCAATTTTAAATTTCTTTGAATACGGTTCTTCTGTTTCTTCTGGTGTAGGTAAAACTGTTTTTAAACTAGAGTCTTCCATGATGATTTGTCAAAAATAAAATGTGGAAGTTCTCTGTTCTGTAAGGTTAAAAACTGACACAAGAAATTAGTGCATTAGCATTCTAAAGAAATCTGTATTTTCCTACCAGAATTTAATGTCATCTTTTAAAGGCCTGTTTTGGGTGCCTTTCTGTGCTGAACTACACTGAGTGGTTATCTGAGATCAGGCCTCTTCAGTAATGATAGCTGCCCTACTTCTGAAGTAGTTGCACCACTAGAGAGGTGCAACTACCAATCAGAATGCATCAATAAACCCCAGATCTCTTGCTACTTCACAGCTTCACTTGATTATTCAGCTTAACTAGGCAGTCAATTATCTGCTTGGTTTGGTTAAGTTAGTCAGTATTGTAGACTAGAATGTATGTAAATCATATACAAAGGTAATCATTCACAGCCAGATAAAATGACAATTACACCTTCAGGGGTTTAAGCCCTAGCTTCTTTCTTACTCCTTTCCAGATTAATTAGTGCTTGATACAACACTTGGCAGACTTGAAGTCAAGTGGTTGTTGAATGGCTGTTCTGAACTGGAACTTCATTCACTCCTAGGTTTATAGTACTATCCTTTTGGTACTAGGTAAAAACTTAAATAACATAGTAAAATGTAATGTATATTATCAATGTGCATATTATATAATAATGGACTTTTAATTTCTTTTAATCAATTATGTTTAAGATCCACATCTTAAGATTATTAAAAAATCTTAATATTTGGATTTATTAAGATTTGCTATTAAGCAATAATTATATTAATATAAAATAACATTTTTAAAATTGTCAAAATTTATACTATTGGACTAGTTTCTGAATCATCAGCTTTACATTCAAGTAAACTATATGCTTTTAATAACAATAGTTTAGTACTATAAATGTAATACTATTGTAGAGATAATCAAGAAATTCTCTATATAAAGTTAGGCTTTTTATCCTAATCAATAAAACATACCTAATACATATGATTAGGAATGGATTGGTATCAAATTCAAATCAAAATGCTGTCATTCATGTCTCTAATTACATTTATTTTAATCAAAAATGACCTTACATTCATTTTATTACGGTATTAAGAGTTTGATACTTTTTTTTAAGAGTCATTTCAAGGCATCAAACATATCAAATACTCCTGCCTCTTATTTTCACAACCACCTTGTGAAATGAGCTTAGCTGAGAGAAAGTAACTTGCCCAGTCACTCAATGGTTTTCATGCCTAAGGGAGCCCCAGAACTTACCATCTTCTGGTTTCTAGGCCAGCATCTTAACTCTTCTACCTAAGTTTAATTAAATTTTAATTTAATTGATCTAATGACATTTTATGTCAGATACAAAGAACAGTTAATTTTTAATATTTTCTATTACATTACAGTGAAAGAATTAACTTACAAAGTTAAAGTACTACAAATAAAAATTGAAAATAATATGAAAACTTAGAAGTTTGTACTTTGTACAAAATGATTTTTTCTTGCTGTTTTAGAAACTAGAAGCCAATGGAAAAAATATGAGGACATTCCAAATACATAAAGTATTTCATTTATGGTTATTATAAACAAATTATCTGTATATAAACATTTGTGCAAGACTGCACAGAGAGCATCACTGACAACGGATATACTGTAGATCCAAATGTCTCTGATAAAGCGTGGAGTTATTTACAAAATACACTCTTTTCTTTTCAAACCAAAGATGCTCTATCATGATCAGGTAGAGAAAGCTTTTCAAATTATTCAGTCTTCTGCCTGAAGGTACTCCCAACACTTAAAAATTGTTCACATTAGGAATTTAAGCATAAGACCTTTATTTTATCTAGTGACATGCTGTTTCTCAAAACAGTGTCATGATATATCCATAGACTGCTGCTGAGATCTCAAAGTTTAATGCAGTTGCCTGAGTGATAGGCCCAATTAAAAAACAACAACCCATGCCCTTTGAATAGTTGTTAGTTGCCATTTTAAATCTAACAGCCCTCCAGCCATCACAGAACAAACTTATCTGGCCGTTTAATCCTAGGTTGTTTAGTGCCAGATATACAAGGGAAATTCTTCCAATTCATTTTCAAGGCCCTCAAATCTGGAACCAGTCCCAGAGGATCTAATACTCAAGTGTTTCTCAACTTCAGCTTTTAAGTTGTGTGGACTTTTAAGTTGAAATCCAGTTGAAATCCCCACATATTGAAATTGATAGTTAAGTAACACCGCCTTTATGTTCTTTATCAACACATATCAAGAGATAAAAAGACTGTTTCCAAATGTTTTTGTTTTGGGAGTTTTATAGTTCATTTCCTTTAGATTTAAAAAGGGTCTCTAAACTTTTGGAATTCTCCAAGTTTCTGACTTAGATTCTATTTTTGAATTATAAAAGGGTAAAAAACTATTTTTGACCTGTAAAAAGATGGAGGTTCTTAAAATTGCTGGGAGGCTAAACTCCACAAGGGGGTCATGAAATTCCTATGAGAAAAAGAGTAATAAAAGATGGAGGATATAACCCTGGAGCCAAAAAGAAAAAGCTTATCACTAGAACATGCTTAAAATGTCAAGGACATCTTTCCTGAGTTATTGTTCCGATGGTTTGGCACTAAAAAGAAGCCATTATTTTGCTCCGTATACTGTTCAGGGTCTGTTGTGTTGCTCTATTTTAATGCTGTGCCGTATTCACCAGAATCATTCACAAGACATTTCTATAAAAATGAATGTTACAGGTAACCTGAACCAACCTTTCAGGTTATCTTATTATCTGTCCTAATGTGGAAATACTGAAGAGGCTATTTCTTCCCAGAAAAGGAGACAGATTCAGCTTGGCTTCCTTCCACCATTTGGTTCTTCCTGAATTACTTGGTGGCTGTGCTGCCTTTTACTTTTTTCACACTGAAAGCCAGAGCCTCAAAAAGAGATGGGAGAAACACTTGCCCAGGGAAAAAGTGGGAGGTTGGGCTTCCACATTAATATATGGCTCTTGCCATTTTCCACTCTATGTCTAATAAAAGAAGTCCTCATTAAGCGACTGCCTAATGGAGTGACCATTAGCAGATTAAAAAAAACTAACTTTGCAATTAATCTACATGTTTACAACCTTCACAGGTCTGTAGAGCAAAAGGAAAGCTGAAGTAAGATCATAAATACAAAGTTGCAGTTTCACTTCACAATCACTTCATTTAAAAAATGAGATGCTGGTCTCAATTGTGGTCATTAAATGAGGACTACCTATATGCAAAAGGACCAGCTGGCTGCTCAAGCATGAAAAGAAAGCTCTGCTTTCCTTCTTCAATATTACTATTCTCTCTGTGTGGGACTCAGAGAGCAAGCTCACCGCATTGCTGAGGTAATTGTGCTGAGGTAAAAAAAAAAACAGCAATAAGGAAGAGTCTCTTGGGAGCTATTAGGGAAATTGTTTAAACCAGCGTCACAGATTCCTGGGAGTGACCCAATTCAGAACCTGGTAGAGCCAGCTGCTTTTCCTGGTTATGCCATTTTTTTTCTTCCTAATCAGAATACAGAACAACAGAGTTGGAAGGGATTTGGGAGATCTTCTAATCTCATCCCTCCCCCACTCAAGAAGGAGATCCTATATTATTCCAGACAAATGGCTGTCCGATCTCTTATTTTTTTAAAAAAAAAAACTTCCAGTGATGAAGCACCCAGTTTCTGGAGGCAAACCCTTCCACTAATTCAAAAGAGGGATCACTCAATATTTTTATTACATTTATTATATGCCACCCATCTCCCTATCAAGCCACGCTGAGCAGCTCCCAACATCATAAAATAGCAATTAAAACCACCCAAATGTTTTAGGAAAAAAAACATTTAAAACAAGGAGCACAAGGAGTATTAAAATTAGAGTTGGCAAAGCTGGTGTCCCATTCATCAGGGGACAGCATAGTAAACACAAGACATCCTAAAAGTCTATTTAGAATATCAGCTTCTCAAATCTCATAATTCGTTTTATTCATATGAAGATACCTATGATTATCAGACAACAAAAAAGCATAAATCCAATCCTCCTGAGCTTCACAACCCAGAGGATTTGACACCCTGCAATGCCCAAGGAGTGTGGTGAAACACCTACAATGGAAAAGTTGTATCTGTTTCTCTCTCTCGACTTCCCTTCCTCTGCCACACAACACCCTCAGCTTCTCTCTGATCCCCTTTTTAAACCACAGGCCACCTATGCGTAAATTTACGTAGGGAAGTAGAAATGGGCGTGAGGATCCCGTTTCCATCTCCCTTCAGCTCTACATACAGATAGTTCAACAGGAAGTATTGGTTAGCAGGCTTACCTGCCCAGAAATATTTTTTAAGGGAAATTTATTTTTAATGGAGTCCTCCAGAAACAGAAACAGTGCTAAATAACCTCAACCTTCCCCAAGGTGGCGCCTCGCTGGTTGTCAGTCTTCAAATTATAATTTTTAATAATCCGGCCATCGCCTTTTTTCATTCAATGCACGGAAGGGACGCCCTTCTACCCACCGAGGAAAGGAATCATGCTGAAACAAAACGACCAGGACATTACTGGGGGGGAAAGGGGGGATTTTCGCTACAAAAACAAGGTTGTTTTTTTTAAAAAAAAAAAACTACATTGCAGGTAAAGATCATTCTTTCCAAATGAGGGGGAAAACCGGTCACATGAACAAGTTTCTTATTTTTGCATAGACATTTAACCCGACCTGTAATCAGGGCTAAGCCAAAGGACCCCGAAATAGGGCCCTGGTTTGCATGGATGGGTCAGATTTCAACCCTGGAGAGGGGAAAATGGGACTGCAAGAACACAGAAGCTTTGTCCAGGCAAGGGAGCGAGACACCTGCAGGATCCCTTCCCAGCGAGATCTACCAGTAGGCGTCTACCTGGCAGGGATCCTTCCGACTGGGCGGCAATTGGCTTGCAGCCCCGTCGGACAAATCACTCTCTGCAAAAGCGCGGGGCAAAAAGGAGCTGCTAAACACTGCAATCCCAATGGCGATGTTGACGTCGAAGGACTCCAGCAGGCTTTAC